CTACTTGCAGTGAAATCCTGCAGCCGCCTATGGGACAGATAAGGCTATTATTCTATAAAGGTGTGACCTTAGTGATGATGAGACATTTAAAGACTGTGAAGGAACATGAAGTGATAGGAAACTACATTAATGTGATTTCCAGAGAAAATTTAGTCATTATTATATACATGTATATGTACAATTTGATTAATAAATGATGTGCAAAAACTTAGCTTAAAAATAAAGAAAAAGTAGTGTGCTATAATAATGCTAATAATAAATCTAGATGTAAATTAACCAGATGGTGCCCCACCCATAAATGAAATGAATGATTGAATGAACTGCAGTAGTGTGAACACAATCAGAGTTATCAGACACAAAAATGGCAGCAGAGTTACAGGTGAAGCTTCAACCTCTGATACTACAAAGAGTAAGGGTGACAAGGAAAGAGTTGGGTCATGGATCATATGGAGTTGTCAATGAACTAAGAGTCAATGGAAATCAATGTGCAGGAAAGAAGTTAAATGATTTGTTAGCCATGGTAAAATACTATACACTAAAGCAATTAGATTATTTCATTTCAATAATAGGAAGATAGCCTGTTAAGTGAGTTTGGTAATGCGATCATTCTTCACAGACAACAGCATCATCCCAATATTGTGAAGTTGCTTGGTGTTCATTATCCCAGTGGTTTCGCACAATTACCAATGCTGGTAATGGAGTATCTTCCTTATTCTCTGCTGCAGTTAATAGAGGGAAGAGTAGCTATTAATAAAGAAGCGATCCTCCTTGATGTTGCTAATGGACTCGATTATCTTCACTCAAAGAGACCTCCAATCATTCATTGTAACATCAAGGCCAGTAATATACTCCTCACTGTTGGTCACAATGCGAAGATAACAGACCTGAGTATGTCTAAATTTGGTGACGCATTAAAGCAACATCATTACACCACAGCCCCTGGCAATCCTTACCTGATGCCACCAGAAGCTCTTGTTCATAATCCTGTCTATAACAAGAAGTTAGACGTCTTCTCTTTTGGTTGTCTTATTCTACATATGCTCACTGGCAATATCATTGTACCAACTGATCAATATGAGCCAAAGCCACACGACCCTGGCTCTTATGTTAAGATATCAGAATGGAACAGGAGAGCTAAATATATTAAGCCAGCACTAGATCATATATTGATTCCAGTAGCTATGAATTGCCTTGAAGATGATCCCTTAAGAAGATTAAATACATCAGATATCATTGAAATTATTAGTCGATTGCAGCTTCGTCCTGATCGATATGCTCATTTATGTGGCATACACATCGTGACAATACTAAGGACTAATTTTTTTGTAATATCTCAGAAGATTCCTTCTATGAGACACGTATCATTGAGTTGAAGGACGCAATAACAAAGCTTAAGGGAATTCCTTATGAACATATAAGGCTTCTTTATGAAGGTAGGCAGCTTGCAGATGATATGACATTCAAAGACTATAAAATTGAAAAATTTTCAAAAATATATCTCAGTCTACGACTCATTGGTAGTTAAAAATCAGTAAACAATAAAACACTGCCTAATGCACATTTAATTGCTATTTCCTAGGATCATTATCTTTTTTTAATGATTTATTATCATTTACTTGTAAAAAAGTAAAATCTTGCTCGACAAAGAAATTACTATAAATGGAATGATTTACAGTGTACACAAATATATGCATGTACAATGTACATTGGATTGTAAAACCCATGCAATTGTATTGATGATGA